CCAAAATCAGGCAAAGCAGGCAGGCAGATTGAGTTGCTCACAGAATCACAGATTCACTGAGAAATCTGTTTTTCTGCCATTGGCTACCTGAGTCTGCCCTGAATAATAGAAGCTTCAGTCCTAAGGGTGGCTAAAGATTAACTAGAAAGCAAGAAATCCAATGATTTCCTGCTTTCTAGCTAATCTAAATCTCCCGGCACAGCAGAACAGCTGATGGTCAGGAGAAAAAGAAAAAGGAAAAATAGAAACTTAGCAGGCAAGTTTGTCAGGTAAGGAGTGAATGGGCGGGGAGGGTTCCCGCGGGCCATGTGGGCAGCACAGCCTTGTGTTCCCACGCGGCCTGGATTAATTGCTTTGGGGGGTGCTCTGGGGGTGACATTTCTCTGCGGACCAGCAAAATTTTCTCCTGGACCACCTGTGGGTGACCACTGTTCTAGTCCAACCCCCCTGCTCAAGCAGGAGACCCTACACCACTTCCTATCTCCTCTTAAAATACTGGAGTACTGCTGATTTTTTTTGTTGGTTTGAGGCCTTTTTCGGCCTCCCAGAGGCTTGGAAAAAGCCTCTGGAAGGCTTTTCAGGATGAATTATAGGCCTGTTTTGTTACTTCCTGTCATACCGGAAGTGATGAAACGGGCCTATAATTCACATTACACATTACATCACATTACAAAAAAGATGTTGAGACTTTGCGAAAAGTGCAGAGAAGAGCAACTGAGGTAATCAAGGGCCTGGAGACAAAAGCATATGAAGAACAGTTGGAGGATTTGGCTAGTCTAGAAAAAAGAAGGACTTGGGGGATGGACCGATGGACATAACAGTTTTCCAGCATTTGAGGGGCTGCCACAAAGAAGAGGGGGTCAACTTATTTTCCAAAGCACCAGAGGGGCAGGACAAGAAACAATGGATGGAAACTAATGAAGGAGAGAGAAGCAACCTGGAATGAAGGAGAAACTTCCTAACAGGGAGGACAATTAACCAGTGGAACAGCTTTGCCTTCAGAAGTTGTGGGGGCTTGAATACCGGAGGTTTTTAAGAAAAGACTTGCACAGCCACTTGCCTGAAACAGTATAGAGCCGTGATGGCGAACCTATGGCACGCGTGCCACAAGTGGCACGCAGAACCATTTGTGCTAGCACGCAAGCTGCAGGCAAACTTACCTCACTGACCTTGCATGCGCCTCACAGCTGATTTTTTTGTTGTTGTTGGTTTGAGGCCTTTTTCGGCCTCCCAGAGGCTTGCAAAAAGCCTCTGGGAGGCCGAAAAATCAGCTGTGAGGCGCAGTGCAGGTAACGGGGTGGGGATTGCGCGTACATGCACTGGGGGTGTGGGGAGGAGGGCGCATTGCATTCTGGGTGCTGGCATGTGAGTCCCTGCGCGCTGGCGTGCGCGCAATTTTTGGCACAGGATCCTAAAAAGGTTAGCCACCACTGGTATAGGGTCTCCAGCTTGAGCTGGGGGCTGGATTAGAAGACCTCCAAGGTCCCTTCCAGGTGCATTATATAATAACTATAATAAAAACTTCCAGTGTTGGAGTATCCACAACCTCTAGAGGCAAGCCGTTCCACTGATTAATTGTTCTCACTGTCAGGAAATTTCTCCTTAGTTCTAGGTTGGTTCTTTCCTTCACCAGTTTCCATCCATTGTTTCTTTTACACCCAGCCTTTTCACGCTGCAAGCTCTCGGTTATCGTAACACCCACCTTTGGTGCCGAGCAGAGGGACGGCCTGGCCGGTGGGAAGCAGGCGACAGCTCTTGCCATCTGGCTCAAGGGCGTGCCCAGCCCGACACTGACACTTGTAGCTGCCGGCGGTGTTGAGACAGTCATGTGCGCAGTGAGCAACCGTTGTGGCGCACTCGTCCACATCTAAACAAACCCGGAAACACAAATGGAAGAGGGATCAGAATGGTGAGTTTGAACTGGGATATCCTCATCTTGGCCAAATCTTTGCCTCTGGGACAATATTCATCCTGATACACGCATCACCCTGACTAAGAATGGTAACCATTGTATTTGGCTAGGGCGGGGGTATCAAACTCAAGGCTCGCAGGCCAAATCTGGCCCCTGGGGTTGTTAGATCTGGCCCACAGGGCTGCCGTGAAAACAGCCAAAGACCGGCCCGTGGTGCCTCTACCAAAGAAAACAGAGCTCAGGAAGCTGCCATGGTCTCCTGCAACCCTCTACCAGCAAAATTGGAGCTAAAGAGGGTTAGAGGTAGAGGATTGCAGGAGGCCGTCGCAGCCAGGGGTAAGGTTCAAAACTTTTAGCAAAGGGTTCTCTGCCCTGTTGCTGGGTGGGCATGGCTATGGTGGGCGTGGCCTAGTTGGCCTCCTGCACCACGGCCGGGGGGCCGTTTTTGTCCTCCCTTGGCTCTGGAGGCTTTCCTCGAGCCCCCAGGAGGGCGAAAACTGCCTCCCCAGGCTCTGGAGGCTCCCTGGAACAGGAGTTTGTCAACCTTTTGGATCTCAGGGACCACCAAACTCATAATTTTAAGTCTCGTGGACCAGAGACCCTGGGAAAATCCCCCCCAAAGTCTGAAGGAATATTCCCCACCCCGTTTTTCTACCGATTGATCATTCTTTATTTGGGATCGCAGGATACCATCTCCAGCTCCGTTCTCCTGGGGGGTTGGGGACAGAGAGAGAGAGAGAGAGAGACTTTTGGCTTCATGCAAGGAAAGCAGCAGAAGCACTTTCTCTCTCCCAAACTCTGCCAGAAATGAGTCTTTGTGAGACTTGTGACGGCGCAGCTTCTTGGAGCAGGATGCCTTTGCAGGGTCCCAAAGACTCATTTCTGGCAGAGTTTGGGGAGAGAAAGAAAGACTTTTGCTGCTTTCCTTGCATGCAACCAAAAGCAGAAGAAGAATGAAGTGGAAAGAAGGAGCCCGATGGCCAAGTGAGGCATGTGGGGCAAGTGAGGCAAGTTCCCCCCTCCACCCTTTCCTCCCTCCCCTCACTACCTTGTGTTGTTCGCAATGCAAGCGATGCAAGCCTTGCGTTCCCATGGGCCATGTGGGCGATGCAGCCTTATATTCCCGCACAGCCTGGATTAATTGCTTTGGGGTGGTGGTGACATTTCTCTGTGGACCACCAAAATTTTCTCACAGACCACCAGTGGTCCCTGGCCTACTGATTGGCGGCCACTGCTCTGGAAGTCAGAAACAGGCCCATTCCTGGCCTTCCTGAACTTTCAGGAGGCCCGTTTTTCGCCCTCCCTGAGCCTCCGTTCCACGCCCTGCACTTACCTGCATCCAAAATAGGTTGTGTGGGGACTCCTGGGAAGGTCAGGGCAGGGTGGGCGTGGCCAGCCAGGAGTGGGATTTGGGGGTTCTCTGAATCCACACAGAATCTTAGCTAGGGGCTCTCCCGAACCCCTAGCAGTCCACCCCTGGTCGCAGCCTCCCGAGCTCCGTTTTAGCGGGCAGGGTGCTCAGGCCTCCACAGGCGCCCCTGACGACGAGTGACATCGAGTTGGCCATGCCCACCCTGGCCACGCCCACCCGTCCCCCAAGGCCGAACACAACCCTGAGGCGTCCCTCCGTGAAATCGAGCTTGACACTCCTGGGTTAGGGCATTAAAGGGCTATTCACCAGATAACCCTCATCCCTAGAATGCCCTGGTTTTCCACCGCTGTACTGTCTTTTTTTAAACTCTTGTTACAGGTAGTCCTTGACTTACAACCATTCATTTAGTGACCACTCGAAGTGACAATGGCCCTGGGGGAAAAAAAAGTGACTGAAACACTTTTCTCACAGTTCGGACCGTAGCAGTGTCCCCCAAGAGCAAAAATTGGACACTTGGCAATTGACTCATATTTACGACGGTTGCTGTGTCCTAAAGTCAGGTGGTCCCCTTTTGCAACCTTTCCAACAAGCAACGTCAACGAAGAAGCCAGATTCACTTCACAACCGTGTTACTAACTGAACAACCGCAGCGGGAACCGTTGTAAAAACGGGGCAAACTCACTTACAAACTATCTTGCTTAGCAGCTGTTGTGGTTAGCCGGCAGTAGGTGCAGATGGCTGAGGAGAGCGAGGACCCTGATGAGGGGCCAGGACCATCAGGGAGTGGACTGTTGCCTTCAGAGATTGTGGGGGCTGGCAGCAGCGATGAGGAGGTTCCCGAGGAGCCTGTGCCAAGTGCACCTGCCCGCAGGATTGCTCGGAGGAAAGAACAATTACAGCGGCACAGGCGACTCGGGAGTAAGGCTGCAAGGTAATGGCCCCTCCCTCAAGAGGATAAAAGCCAGGTTTGAAAAAGCGTTCTTTGCAGAAGGCAAAGAAGCTCTGAAGCTCAACTGGTGGACATCTTAGTTCGTGTTTGGAGAATCTTGTAAATTAGTTCTTATCTCTGGGTTTTTGGCAACATTAATGAACAATTTGGCAAGGCTCTTTCTTGCCGGAGCTAATTAGTGGAAAGCAGCCTTTTATCTGTAAAGGAACAGAATTCGTGATTAAACTTTAAAAGGTGGGGGCTGCTGCCTTTGTCTGTGTTTGCTCTCTTGGAACCCAGTTGGGTCAGAACAGCAGCGGAAATTTTCGGCTCAATTGTGGTCGTAAGTCGAGGACTACCTGTAGCTCTCCATAAACACACACAAGTCATGGCTGGAA